ATTTTAGATGTTATTATCTAATGAAACTGTTGAGATATACGTGTAAGTTATGTTAGAGAAGTCCCACATCAAAGAATTGATATGGTATGGAGCAGTTAATATATCCAAGTTGACCCATCACTCATTGGCTTAAGCTTTTGAGTGAAAGTGGGTCTAACTGGATATGTTGACGGGCTTGGATTATGGCTTTCTCTTGACGATCTCCCCAAATGAAGATATCGGGCTTCTGCTACGCACTCCTAATAGAAACTTGACCATGGGGCTTCTTGACATGAGTGGTTGACATTGATATTTGCTGCCTATCATAGGGTTTATGTGATTGATACATATTATGTGATGCAATAGCTTAAGGAAAATAAATATTCATGTTACTTGAGAATATTTATTTGTATTACTTCAACAATGCATTATGTTGATTTATAAAAATTGCAGTAATCATTACTTGATCTCATAGAACTAGTGATGATTGTCATTTGCTGAGCCATTCTCTCCCTTTCTATCACCATTCTACGTCGGAAGAACAAATTAGAGTAAATGGGGGCACGTGAAGAATGATACGGGGTGACCTAGAATGGCATTTACCAGGAAATTGAGAGTACTTTTGAATTCCTTTTGGACACCATTTGGGTATTTTTAAGTTTTGTAGATACAAGTTTTACCCGGTGAATGATTTGGTATGAAGTCAAATTCTTATGAAATGGTTTTCATTAAAGTCTTCGTTCTTTATAGGGTAGCTAGTCATCTCCTGTAATTCCGGTATAATTTTGGGATATGATACATATATTAAATATTGTTGCGAAATAAAAATGAATACTCATAATATTTTCACTAATTAAATGGGCGCTTAGCTGCCGGCCTACCGAAAACGAAAAAAAGCTGACATCTTCATGCTTACCCGGCAAAGTTTTCAGATTTTAGTGTTAATTAAAAAACCCAACCATCCTGTTTGTTCCTCTGTCTCTATCCATGTGGACCACATGGATCTTCTTGTTGATTTATTCTTGTACTAGAGGACACATATGCACGACTTTTCTTGGGGTAGGTTCAACAAACAATAATAAAATGTCTATTAATAATATTAGAATTTTGGACAATGATGGAGCAGAAGGATGGACCAAGATACCTAATAGGTGGGAACACTTGACTTATTTTTACTGAAGACAGCAGACCACGGCATTATTCGGATTGTCTTATTAACAAAAGTTTCTTTGTTTGATGTTAAATTTATTGTTAGATTTTAGATAAGTATGGCGTTCAACATAAGATAAATTTTTAATTAATGTGCTGGCTTGAGGGAATGGCTCTCCCACTTGTTTAGTCTTCAATTTTCTCTTTTCTTATATGGAAAATGAAGTATTCGCTGTCATTATGTTAGCTTTTGTTATAGGGTCACTAATAAGACAAACTTTTACTGGCTTCCTCGAATTGGCGATTGCGACCTCTAAGTGGTTGTTTTCTCTTTGCTAAATAATAATCTAACACATGACTCCTCATAAGATATATAATTATATGCACAATTTAAGTATATGATAGGTCTAGCCCTCTTCATTATTTTTTTTATACTTATAGTTTCGCTAGAGGCCCATAAAAAACTCGATAAGCCCTTATGGACCAATTAAATCTAGACCTTTGACCATAAGCTGGCAATCCAGTCCTATAGCAGTTTGTATGCAATAGGTTAGTGGCTTTTATGACAATATGCTTAAGAGAAATTATAAATCAGGCTGTGCAAACATATATACAGATTCCAAATTTTTTCATTCGGCGAAATGTGATCATAGGGTTTCTTGATGTTCTTTCATATGACTTTCAAGTTGCATATAGTCGATACGTATTTATAAAATTGCATTATTTGTGACTCGATGTCATAGAAATAATGATAATTGTCACTTGCTGAGCCGTGATGATTTTAAAGTTTTGTGAATACAAGTTTTACTTGATGATGATTTTATATGAAGTTAAATTTTTATGAAATGGTTGGTTTTCATTAAAGGCTTCATCCTTTATAGGACAGCCGATCATTCTCTATAATTCATGTATGAATTTACGGTACGATACATATATTAAAATATTTTCATGAAATAAAAATTGGAAAGTCACAATGGGCACACTGCCGGCCTACCAAAAAGGAAAAGAAAATTAACATCTTCATGCTTATCGACAAAGTTTTTAAATTTTAGCATTAATTAAAGAACTTAACCTTTCTGTTTGTTCCTCCGTCTCTATCTATGTGGGCCACGTGACTATGATACCATTATTACCCACTTCGTTCCCAGGGGAGAAAGTCTTTACATAAACCGGGTCTTCGTACCCCCAACATCATTTTATATTACCTAAAAAGTCCGTGCTATGCACAGGAATTGAAGGACTAATGTCAACAAGTGTCCCTCGTCCCTCTCAACGCTTAACATGGCTCGAGCAATTCCTCTTTGATGGAGCCCACGACGGTACCCCAACGCTCTTCGTAGCAACTGAACTACTGCACGGTCGTGGCCACACCATCGACGGACCTTCGCGCCACCCAGTGACAACGCCGTGTCGACCGCGGTGGTAACGATAGCCGGCATATAGTCAAACATGACCATAGCTGCGCAAGCATCCGATTTAGCCCAAATAAAACCCGATTAAACTTGACTAACATATGAACATTTGAACTGGATCTAGGGACAGCGCGTCCCTTATTTGAGTGGGGTCTCAAATTTGTATATTTCATATTATATATCTATAAATTTTCACATGCAGTAAATATTTGTCTCTTTTGTAGACTTTGGCCCCACTAAATTTTTTAAATTACAAACTTGACCCCTTAGAAAATGAAAAGACCAAATGACATCAAAGAAAGCACAGAACTTTAGAATTTACATTTGTATTTTCATAAAACAAATAGATAAAAAGCATATTATAAGTTCGAAATTTTTATGTATAGAATGCAGTCAAGTGATAAGCCTTTTTTTGTTGCCAATGGGATTATGAACTTTTCAAATGAAGCAACCAAATCCAAAGTTTTTTTTTTTTTCTAAAAGTGCAATCCAGTCAATTTGGTTATCATTTCTCCATTGTCTTGTACATTTAAATCTATAACACTCTCACTCGAGCAATTTACAATCAATACCCTTAAAACTTCGTCACATTTTAAAACGAGTAAAAATAGAGCATACACCACCAATGTAAAGAAAATTTTACACAATGCACCTTATCCCCCATTGATTTTAGGATCATAACTATCCACTCTCTTAAATTATGGTGGATTTAAGCCACTGGCGCAAATTTTTTTTTTTTTTGCACTGGATAGTATCAAATGAGATTGCATTTCATACTAAAAGTTCATAACTTCTGGTGAGTTTTTTTCATAGAAACACATCCAATCATAAAAAAAATAAACTTTATATAAAAGATAACAATTTTATTATTTGCACAAAATGATTTCTTACGACAATTAGTATGTAGATTATCGTGCTTTAGTTTTCGTATTTATATAAAATTGTTTCATAATAGTATGATACAATAAAACCACAAAAAAGTCTCCGGCTAAAATTTAACTTTGTAGTCATGACTCCCAAAAGCCCAAGCAAAATTACATGCATATTCGTAAAAAAGATCATATAACCCTTGTACCAAACTAAGGAGAGTGACTGTTGCTATTACATTCCTCATGTATTAAAGTAATTTTGCAGCACCTCACTTGCAGAAAATTATGCATGTATACAAATATATCTGGAAAGACGGCATGGAACACAATGCAAAAAAAAACGCATTGAAAACGGACCCCGAAAGACTTGTCACGCACACACACACGCTTCTTCCGCACGTGGCATTTACCTTTGCACGTGCGTATACTCTTCTCCAACCTCCGTCCGGGTCGCTCGGCCCAATCTTCTACCCAATCGTGACCCGTTAAAGACCCGGCGTCCAAACACAGCAAATTCGACACTTTTGGAGCGCAATTGAGGCTCTATTTTTTTATTTTATTAAATATTAATCATAGAAAATCCCGATTAAATTCTGTAGTAGTTTCTGATTTATCGAGAGATAGACAAATAATTGAAAAGCTTGTGAATGACTTTATAGCTAGTCAAATGCATTCTTGTATGAATGCATAATAACTCGAAATTGCACTCAATTAAACAGTCATCAAGGTCGGAAATATAATCACGAAGGTCACCCATGCATCTAATAGCCTAATGAAGGTCCAATTATGACGAATTTCTACCATTAACGCTCGGTAAAATTATGAGAAATTTGACCCATGCATTCAGGTGCCCTGAATGGAATTGATTCGAAATTAAACGTGCAAAATAACCGACATTGCTGTGGGTAATACGATCATGCAGCCAATTTGGACATATGAACAGAAATCGACATCCAATTTGAAACTTGTCTACTCAGTCACAAGGTAATTTATTCCAAAAATTTCTGAAACTTCTAGATCACAATTCCCACAACCCAAATCATATCACGACATGAAATTAACGGAGCAGAACTGATATTCAACGTAGAAAAGAACCCCCAAATTTATAAAAAGTTATAATGGATTATGGTTCAAAATCACCATCTTCCTGTTCATTTTAGACTACGGTCTTTCGGGCAATTGGTTTGGTACATTCTATGTTTTACTAGACATGATAATAACATAATCATTACTATCTTAAAAAAACACTCAAATTTCGACATTTTATTACCACAAGAAAAGAGATCACTTCAGGATTGAACAATAATGAAAGCACGCATAGGGAAGAAGCAGCTGCCAATTGCCCCTCGACCAAGCAAACCATTGAGATTTTCATGTATTTTTGGAGCCACCGCGTGACTATCTCAACCAATCATGGTCACCACGTGATCGATCAAATCCCAGAGACTTTCTCACGGTAATATGCTAGGCAAAGTTAACAACGATCAAACCATTAATTGACTCATCAATATTGTAAATTCCAAGTATTTACGACATAATCGGTATAACTGAGAACCTAAGTCCAGTTATTGCAATTCTTTGCCAGGAAATCTACATGAAACACATGCAAATCATTGATCTCTTTATCATCATTAGGGATGAAACATGATATAGTCCAGAACTCTGGAGTTCGGACACATCAATAGCACACCTAGAATAACTCAAAGTTCAAAAAACTCGTAAAAAAGTGATGCCTACAAAGTTTATGCCGTAAATTATCTTAACAATCTGATAAGCAAGTTAAAGCATGAAATGGACTTCCAATCACAACTGCAACCCTCTGTCAACACATGACCATCCGGGCAAAAGCTGATATGGACAAGCATCATGCTTCCTTTCACAGCTCCCTTCATGAAATTCTGTGATTGGAAAAGCAGTAAATGGCACATGCATTGTCAGTCAGATTGCACTGGATTTTGAAGACACTTCTGCGATGCTAGATGTCTAACTACATCCTCTTACCATGAAAAAGAATGCAAATCATCAGCAATTATATTCACACAGATCTCTCTACTTAAAGGGCTGTCTGAACACACTGTGATTATTAAATTTTGTAAGATCTTAAGACAAAATAATTAACTGTTTCTGTCATCACACACAAACGGGAAAGAATCTTATTATGCTAGAATCAGCACCAATGATGCCACATTTAGATTTGCGCTTTATATGTAGAATACAAAGAGTCAGAAAACTATAGTTCAAAAGTAATTTTGCGATGAGTTCACCTCAAGAATGGGAACTCCCTTACACTGCAAGTTTGACTTAGGTTATAGTCAAATGAAGAGATTAACTAATAGGAATAAGAACAATGAACAATATAATCAGAATAAACCAAGAATCAGGAATGAAGAGCATGGATGTTGTCCAACTTCATCTTGAAGACCTTTATAGTGTCCTTGTTGGGATTGACTACTATCGTACAAGGAAATCTATAGCTATAGGTATAATCAATCTTAGCATGAGCATCATATTCTACTACCACTGCAAGAGACATTGCCACAGTGCCCTAATCCGTGCCATTCCCTTTTAACAGGCTATACTATAGAAGGTCACACCCTGCAGCCCACTTGTTCTATGCACAAGTAAATGCCAATCATTCAATATGCAGCAGAGTTGCATCATAACACCATACATGATGTCCATGATGTTCAGAGAAGCGAGAATCATAATCCAAAGGTCTTACCTAGTTGTGCAAAGCCATTAGTGGATTCAACAGGAAGAACCAACGCATGTACACCTAAAGAGAAGCACGAGTAACCCCTGACCTCTGATGTTTTGGAGCTGAAATCCAAATATTAGCATTCAGTATTTATCTATAATACCTTAAACAAATCATAGACTACACAATGTCTTAACAGCAAATGAATGGAAAAGGAGCGGAAAATGGCAAAGAGAAATGATATTCAAGTTATAGGGTTCTATAAAACAGAGAAGGAAACCAAATTCACATTATAATTGCATAGACAAATTATTTCAAGGACATCTTTTCTGTGTGTAATGAGTTGTCAAGGCGTACTAATTATCTCAAAAGCATGAAAAAGTTATGGTCTAATCAGTCTCTTGATATATATGCAACTGAAGAGCTAAAATTGGAGAATTGTTCGACCAAGAACCATAAATGTTTAGTAATTCACAATAAGGATCAAGAAGACACTTCTCTGAACGAGTCTAACCAACGGATTAGCTATAAAGATACTGCACTTTGTCTTTTTCCTTAACCAAGGACATCTCGTCCCATTTCTCAAATGGCAATCTGGCTAAGAATATCCAGTCTAGAAGAAATCTACATTTGATAAACGGGTCATCTGAAAATTGGCCAAAAGAAAAGACTGGTCACCTGAAACTCTAATCTTTGTTACTGAGCAAATTCTACATGCAGACCGCTCCACTGAATCAACTATACTTGGGGCTCATTTGATCCAAAATTTCCATTACTGCAAGAGAAACAAGTAAAAACTTGGAAACATTTATAAATCACGTAGACACTTGAAAGGGGAAACAAAGATGAAATTTCTGTGGAAGCCACCCAATATTTCTGATGATTCTGCATTTTCACCTGGCTCATCAGCTTGAAACCCAAAACAGATTCCATTTGCAAAACATGTCCAAATATCATGCAAGAGATAATTTAGCAGACTAATTGACAAAGCACTTTGCAAAAGAAGGTGCCATCTAAGCCAAAAAACAAGTTGGCCAATAAAGGAATACGCTTAAGTTAGGAAGTTTACATTTAGGTCCTAAGAATATCGATTTTAAGAAATGTTTGTACTCCAGGAAACAGGCTCTCAAGCAAGCAAATTATGTCTGGAGTGTACCATTTAATTTATTTGACAGTAACTAGGCTCTGCAACTTGGCATACTTCTTGCATCAGATTTAAAGAGGTGTGTTTGGGGTAGCTATGGCTTAAACCTAATGTCCTTGGAGAACAAACAACACGCTGTAAACAGGGGATACTTCAAGGTTTTTAATACGGATGGGCAAGTTCTCTCAGAGAGTTATTGGCATCAGTGATCTGATTGAGAGAAGATTTGCGGATGACTTGTATACTAATACTGGCTAGGATGGGTTTCAATCAGCTACATCTCTTGAAAACATTGCATATGAACCATGAAATAAGCCAGTTCATGTATCCCACAATACTTTTGACTTATAATCAGATTATTAAGAGCAGCATAAGTATCAATTTCTAGCTCTAAAAGTCAGAGTTTTCATGGCTTTCCCACAAATCACAACGAGACAGTTCCTATTTCCCTACATTTTAACTTTTAAGTCAACAAAGTCTGAGTAAAAATTGATGAGTTCTGGACAAGCTTAGGAAATATGAAATGTTAGATCATGGCAGCATCAGACAGATGAAAAACCATATGGGAAACCCATACCATACACCACAATTTAGTAAGCACATGCCCTCATGTATGCAAGAAGAGACAATTGAAACTAATAAACAAGAAAAGAGATTTCTTTAACAAGTACACTTCCCATGACATATCAAAAACCATTATTTCCTCGTAGTTAAATTATATTTCTTTGAAGATGCTATATTTTCCGTTTTAAACTTGATAACATTAAAGACATCAAAAAATCTTGCTGCAGTGAAAAATTAGTTCCATATACCTCCATTTATTTTCATGGTTATATGTAGCAATATTCAAAGTGCGACAACAAACAGAATTACAATGAAACCACACCCATCAGTAATCAACATTAGAATACATAAACCTCTAGTAAGCTTTAGTTGTCAATTGTCATATGTCACAATTTCAAAGGGGAGCTAAGTAGATTCAGAATCAGCAACAAAAGCAAGTTCAGAAACTGACCTAATGCATGCATCGAAGCTACTCGAATGCATCGACAATATTGAGCCACAGCCTCCAAATTTATCATTTGCACAGCCATAATATACTTCCTTTATACCTAAAAATGGCTAAGAGTCATCTAATCATTTATGAATAATCAAATTTTATGAAAGTTTAGTTCTATTTCGGTATGATCAACAGATGTACCGATGATTGATAATGCTGTTGCACACATTATGCATAGTTCACATGTCACATAAAGAGAGCATGCCGAAAACTTCTCTGCAACTTCTGCAGACGAAAATCCAGTCCTCTGCCACTGTTCAAAGAGAATATCAAGAGCTTCGATTTCCGCATGTCTTGTTGCCTAGGAATGTGCAAGGAGAAAAGTAATGAAAGCATATCAAACTTAGGAGCTTGATCAGAGAGAAAGTTGCTCTTAGTGTAGTTTCAACATAAATTTAGGAAATGCATTTCAGGAAAAATATTTTCTCCTTCACGTTTATTTATTTTTTACTCTTGATTAACATTTGAGTCCAAATCTATTTCCTCTTAAAATCGCCCCTTCCGTATCTGCTCCATGCTGACTATACTTGTAAGGCTTGATCGTGTTCATCCTTTGCTCGGCAGACTAAGTGAGGGAGCTTAGAGTGCACAGATTGTATCCTAGGGACAGGATTTTCGTCAAAGCCAACAACATTAGATCATGAATCCTATTGGAAGAATCACTGTCTTTAAGACAGAATCATCAATACACCTTATCCGGAAATTTCATATGTTTCTTCAAATACCCACAACACTGAGAGTCTACAAGAGGATCTTATGCGTGAAGCATGGACAACTCTCTTTACTCCTCAGTATTAGGCACTCGATCTAATTTCTAGTACTCAAGCATTACATTCTTTAAATTTTATGTGAAAGTGCAGTTATCCTCCCTATACTTGAGATTTTGCAAAGTCTCTTAACTCGCTTCCCAAAACTTCAGAATTTTGCATCTCTCACTACACCATTTTAATCAAGAGAGGTGAAGCCACCATAACAACTCGCTGTCATGTGATTTAAAGCAATAAATACATATCCCGAATAATCTATAAAATTATAATCTGTTTAGGCAATCAAGTACTCGTTAACATATTCAAGCATGCAATACAGCACAATCTATGAGCACTCAACATTCTGGTTCAGCAGCTTGCAACAACTTTATTTCTATCCAAAAAATAAATAAATATCATTCCTCTATTCTCTCTCTCTCTCCTCATTAAAGCTTTTTCAGGGCACAATGGCAAACGAGAAACATGGAACATTGTATATTTGTTAGCTGTAGTCATATTTTATGAAAGAATAATGGGAACAAGACCATTTACAGCCTAATAATGCATAGAAAATTGCACATTTTAATAGATTTGTTCTGATATACTATTTTATCATATATTAAAGAAATGTTTAAGGCAGAAACACAAAACGATCAACAATAACTACAAGTGGATAATGTGAGGGTATCAATTCAGAACAACAACAAAGTGCTGTTGGCCAAAAATTATAGAAAGGGGTGGAGAAGCAATGGTAGACATACATTCCGTGTCTCATTAGTCCTGTTTCTTATTGTCACAATAAGGTTCCCTTCCTCAACAATCACACAGCAGTTCAATCAAATTATAATACAAATAAAGTACAATGTGAAATCATTTACTAATTAAGACTGAAAATACTAATCATCTTACTTATAAAATATAGTAACACTAAAATGCACTTGGTTGCTGAAAATCAGTTTCTTACCCAACTAGGACTTCAAGGCTATCCAAGGCAAGCTTTGCCTTATAAAAGAAAAGGAGAAAAAAAAATAAGCGTATAAGAGTCAGAATTTCTCTCATAAATGCACAAAGGCAATTTAAGGGGAAATCAGCATCAAGTTGCCAGCAGTAGAAATATTTTAGTATCAATATGCAGCTACTAATTGAATGAATCCATGTCTCATAGCCATATGATCAAGATCTTGCAGGTCCTGTATAATACACTGGTCACAAACTTCCAAATAATGATTATTAATACATACTAATCCTGTAATTCAGATGCAAATCCCACTAACACTTAAACTGATATGGCTCTAACAACTCTAAAGCAAAAAAGCCACTAATTTAAGAAACTACATGTTGCTCATTCCAGTATGTCTTATTATTGGTACCTCGGAAGTTTATCTTTAATTAATCAGGTTTTACTCAAACATTCAAGAAGCATCCAGGAGTTTTAGCTTCTCAGTCAATTTCCTTCAAAAAAGCTATGGCACATAAAAAATAAAAAGAGAATCCTAAACTATTGCAAAGGCCTCAGAAATCAGAATCGACAATCAGCTTCTTGTGCTTTTGACTCTATTCCACTGAATAACTTAAGTAAACGCCGTGTTTCTTGTGATTTGTTTCTTTTTCATATCTGTAATCCACAAGGCGAAAGAAAATAACCACCTAACCAGTTATCCATGGGCACAACCCATGTTCATATTACTCTCAAGCTCCAAGTAAATTTACTTTTCAATTCTCCCTAGTTGCCAAAGTAAACAAGCAGTAAAAGGACTCTGACTACCAAGCAACCTTTCCCGATGACTGCCATCTCACTTCTTCATTCCTTATGGTTTTGCCTCTTCAAGCACCCAAACCTCTCTCTCTCTCTCTCTCTCTCTCTCTCTCTCTCTCTCTCTCTAGATGGTTGTCCACTCCATTGCCTGGTTTCGGGTAAGGGAATTCCCAACCTATGCCACCCGGATCTCTCTCTCTCTCTCTCTCTCTCTCTCTCTCTCTCTCTATAGATGGTTGTCCACTCCATTGCCTGGTTTCGGGTAAGGGAATTCCCAACCTATACCACCCGGATTGGCTCAGTTCTTCGCCTGAAAAGGGGACTGAACCAACCCATGTGCACCCTGCTTCCCATTGTTTCACTCTCCCTTGCTTGTTTTTCCATTAAACCTAGACTTCACCTATTTCTTTGAATGCAGTGCTACCTATCAAAAGAAAGAAAGAAAAGCTATGCCTTGTAGGGATTGTTGCTGATTTCACTACCAAGCATCCACGGACAAAACTTACTAAGAAACGCTCAATCAACGTCTCTCGAACAAATTCGACGACACATTCTTCAAGTTCCCACGCAATTGTAGCACCAAACGAACAGAAGTCAAAATCCATCACAAGTATTACAAATAAACTTAATACACTTCGGATGTGCCAGGCGTTGCCTGATCTATCGCAAGCTGCATGAAGCCCAGAATGAACCTCAGGGAGAGAATCGCTCACCAGAAGCTACGTCATCGGTTTCCATGGCTTCGGACGGCGGCGGTAGTCCGTTGCTCCCTCACCGGCCTAAAAAATATCGTGTAGATGAACTTATCATCTCTGTAGGCAGGTGGCGATCTTGAAGATGAGGAGGAGTCGGGATGCGGAAGGTGGCGTCGGTCTCGGTGGCGATCGAAGATTTTCTACGGTGGAGATGTAACGTCCTGAAATTCGCCCACTTCCGGGACTAATGAAATAGATGATTATTTCTCATTTCGTTTTAGTGAGTCTCACCCAGAACTGATCATTCTCGGAATACTGACCATTAGGGAATGGCTAACTAGGAAAACGGTGCGTGGACCCAAGAACTCGATCGTGACTCGAGTCCGATTCCAAGAAGCGACGAGGGGATATTTTGTGCCGACATGGGCCGGTCTGAGGAGAGTGACGGATTCGGTTTGATCGACGACGTACGATAGGATAGCGGGTGATTCCGCACGACCGAGAGTACGCGCGGCGAACGATCCCGAACTTATTCCGGACGACCGAGACCCCTGGGACTAGCGATAAATCCTCGTGTTCTCTGGAAAATCGACATCATCATGACTCGAGTAGCCCTAGGTCGATACACGTAACTCCTAAACAGCCGCCCGTTAGTTAGAGACACTAAAACTGAAAATTGAGTTAAATCAATCGTGGAATTGAGTCCGGACTTCGGTGTCGAATTTCATGGGCGTATGCGACTATTTTGCGAGGACGACATCATTTTTATGTGGCCACTCATATTTAGGATCAGTGGAGCCGAAAATTGGAAAATCGACCCGGGACCGGAAAATTACCGTTTTGCCCCTAAGCCTTTTTAGTGTTCCGAATTTTGGGAAAATATTTTAGGATTTTATATTAGTTGTTTCAGCCCAATAATGTTAGAAAGGTTGGTCAATTGTGCCCCTAGATGTTTATTCTAGATTTGGTCTTAGCCTTTGGATTAGGGGCAAATTTGTCAATATTGAAAGGTTGGTCACAAACTCCCACTAAGCCCAAGCTATATACTCTCTAGTCTCTCTCTCTCTCCTCTCATTTCCTCCTCCCCAAGTTAGCCGGCCACCCTCCTCTCTCCCTCATTCCGCGAGCTCTCCCCCTCCCGGCCGTGTGCCTTCGCCGGACCGCCACCGCCGCCGGTGCCGCCGCCGGGGACGCCACCCCTCGCCTCACCACCACCATCCAGTCGTCCCTCTCTCTCTCTCTTTATCCCCCCTTTCAGCCACGTGATCAGCCTCCCCAGCCTAGGACCGCCGCACGCGCCGCCAGGAAGGCCGCCCGTCGCCGCCACTGCCCCGCCGCTGTCCAGCCACCCTTGCTGCTTGTTCAGCCTTGTTTAAAGCTTAGGATTTCAAGTGAGTACAACCCTAAGCCCTAATTAGGCTAATTTACATTTCTAGATGGGTTTTAGGGGTTAATTAAGGTATTTTAGGGGTTAAATGGTGGAGATTATTAGGGGCTGATCTTGTGGCTATTTCGCGGCTTAGTGTGATAATTTTAATTGAGGTTTAGAGGCGTTGTCACGCCTCGAACCCTATCGAGCTCATGACATCCGCCTCTGGTCGATTTATGCGACAACCCAGGAATTATCGCCGACCTCAATTATAATCATCAGAGATTTAAATTCACAACGGAAACCACAAATAACCCGGACAATTAAGACCGGGGAGAATATACATATATTCGCTTCCATTCACAAACTTATAAGATATTCACAATTACAACCTTAATATCCAAGTGCACACCTTACTATCCACCTTCGATAACAAAAAGGACTGGATGACCTGGTATCCTAACTTCCAAAAATGGTACACCTCAAAAACTCTGATTAGACCCATGCACTAACCCCTACGGCCCTTACTCGGCGTCCACTCCGAGTCTGATTCTTCACTATCTGAATTCGAACTTCCTTGGACAGTCTATTCCTCAGAGGACTCCGGCTCAGCTTCGATCACAATCGGGTGATTGATGTCACCCGACTCTGCCGGAATAGCGTTCTGGTACTCCTCGGCTAGAAAATCAAAGAAATTGTACTCCGTCACGAAATTGGGGTCCATATATTCCTCAAACGGGAGTATATACTCCGGGTCTCCTGCCGGCTCATCCGACTCCTCAGACTCGTCCTCAGGCTCAACCTCGGGCTCCACCTCTTCTGGTTCCTCCTCATCTGGTTCCTCTTCCTCTGGTTCCTCCTTGGGGATTGGTTCTAAATCTATGTCCATCGGGTCATCCTCAGCTTGCGATGCTTCGGGCTCGGGCTCATACTCAGCCTCAGAAGATCCCTGAGCGGCGAGTGTTGGATGCATCCCAGACTGTGCTACGCTAACCTCCGTACTGGTCAACTCTCCATCAATCGGGGGTATAGCAGTCGGGTCCCAATCCCTAACTAAATCGAACGGAACATCGAATCCTCTAACAGGCCCGAACTTAGCCCCGTCCGCATCCCGGAAGAACCAGGCAGTGTACTTATGCTCTTCCCAAAGAGGCAAACCTACATCTATAAACACAGTAGAAGTGTGTTTAATCCAGGTCATCCCATCTCCCATCGAAAATTCTGTAGCGTCAACCTCGGTGTGCACTGGTACCCCAAAACGCTCTGGTGGCTGCAGTGGAGGATTCATGGTTCCTGACGGGGTTCTGAAAATGTTGGTTGAAACAACCATGAAAACACTTCTCAGCAAGTTCACCCCTAAACCCCACCTAGGCTATCACGTACCTCCAGACAATAATCAAAACACACATTCGCACACATACCATTATCACATAGCAGGCACATCAACACAATCACAAGCATGCACAATTCTCATGCCATGCACTCATCCTGTTCTCATCATGTCTCATCCATATTCCTTGCCAGTGACCCGCGTACACGTACACGCCTCAGGTACACCGCGACCTCTTTCCACAACATTTCCGGGCCCGCGTAAACGTACACGCCTCAGGCTCAATATCTACCACCTACTGCATAACCCGCGTTGAAGTACACGCCTCGGGCTAACAGTCTTTCGGTAATACCGGGCATCGTCGAGCGTAAACGTACACGCCTCAGGACGGCACAATTCCCACGATCTCACATATCATACCACGCACTATTTCTCGTTCTTTCACACGTGTAACAATCACTTGCCACATAACTGGTCAATCGCACGTGACCCTTGCACGCAACAATTATACACAAACCATGCTCACTCAGCATTCAACACGGCCAATTTTAATAATTAAAACAATCTGGCCCAAGCGTGCACCCAACAAACATAATTAACTCAACCAATTGCACAATCACACATTTAATTTCACCACCACAGTCTAATTATTTTCAAACGCACGTAAAACACAGAAATCATTATTTTTCTTCCACCAAACGACGTCAAATCGATTCCGGTCCTTGACGGGACTTTTTCACCATAAATTCTCGGTTCTAAAAATCCAACTTGCGTCCCGATCAG